TGAAAGACTTTTTCCTTTTTTATAAGATCGCTCTAGTATAATAGAGCAATTAGCTTAATGTATGCACAGTAAAACACATTAAAAAAAGCAAAAATATTAATAACCAGCATTATGAGGATGAAAATAAGTGACTGGACTCGGAAAGCTCAGGCCAAATAAAATAGTTTGAGATAAAAATCCTTATTTTGTCCCTGTTAAGTAGACTATAGCCATCCGATTCTACAAGCCACAGCTACATATAAAACCGAAAGCTAATTTCTGTATTGAAACTGCTATCAAGGATGATGGCATCCGATTACCCACTTTTTAGTATGCTAAATCTCGATCTTATGAATTCCCCACAGGCAAAACTAACCCAAAAGCAGTTATGAAGAGTAAAACTTGTTTGAGAAATATATAAATGGTCTAATCCAAAGTTTGTTGCCAAACAACTAAATAATAAGATCTTAGATATTAAGACCAAGATTGTGTGGCCTTGAGTTTAGTTGCAATCTTCCTTAGCTGTTTGGTGTTGGCTTGACCTCTCTTCCGCAACACTGTCGGAGCGACAGGGATATCTCGTGGAACATATCTAGTTCTGCATCTTCCAGCGTGGTATTCATAATAATTTCCAGCATAGGATCGTCCGACCAAGCTAGGAAAACGAGGTCAAGCTAACAAAATAAATAAGTATAAAAACTATTTATTTGTAATCAGTGGGATATAAGTTCAGGCCTGGGCTTTTACTTGGACAAATGAGTAAAAATTACGAGAGATTAAAAGACCTGATCTACTAAACACATTGTTCCGGTCTTTGGCAATTCAAATAAAGTTTAATCTGTGAATAAACCTAGGTATACCGTTCCGAAAAAATTAAACACAATAATAAAACTGTTGGAATGAATAAAGATGAGCATACGAGTTCGCGAAGCCAGAACATGGTTCCAGGTCAAATGCCAGGCCGAAATAGATGAGTTAAGGGTTTATGGTTGAGTTTTACCACAATACTATGAGTAGACCTCACAATGTCGTTGACTTTCACGTAGCCTTGCTACCTTAAGGGTTACAGGGCAGACATAAATTCCAAAGCCTCTTTGATATCACACTCATAGTGAGATTGCCGATGAGGCAAATTTGTATTTTTCGTTTCAAGCATTTAAATTTAAACAAAATAGGAAGAATATGGTTATTCATTGTTAGTTTTGAGGCAAACATTATAGTATTAGTAAGAACTATATTCTCTATGAATTGCAAAGGTTGGTGAATGACTAATTATTGAATTTTCCCAAAATTCTATGAGTAGGTCTCATGATGCCATTAAGTTTCACTTGGCCTTTTTCCCAGAGCTGGCGAAACATATGGTCATACAAGGCACCAGATACTGTGTGAAACTTAAAGTTTTACAGGATATGCAGACTTCATTATTAAGCGAAAGAGTAGGGAGTCGATATAAATTAAGAAAGCAGTCAACACCCTGGATAAAAGGAACGAGTTTTAGAAATTAAGCAATAAACTCTTGCGAAAACTACATAAAACTAGGGTGAAGGAGAGGTAGTAGGAAGAGCCAAAGAGTGAAAGGAGAAGGAAATCAGTCAGTACATCTGGATGATAAAAAATAAGAATCTTTCCAAGTAAAGTAGTTAGATAAAATGGGAACAATGACACATTCAAAGAGTTAGTAACAGTCGGACAAGGGTGATAACAATAGAAATCTATTTTCATGTCAATATCTTGTTCTTCTTTCCCATCATTACAAGCAAGAATCTCGTCTTACTTTTTCCTCCATTAAAGAGTAACTCATCTCTTCTCTTGGCCTGAACACCTTTACGATCAGAGCCGACCGATTTTGGCCAAGCCAGCACCCGCGGAGCCAGGCTTGGACTGATGCGGCGATAAACGAGCGTGGCCCGCAGCATCGCCAGTGATGTATCTGTAGGAGGGTAGCAAACAGGTATGATCTCAGAGGTCCGACATAATGGGTAAAGTAGTTGGTTGACTCGGGAGGCAGAAACTCGATCGGTGATGAGCAATTCGCCTATGCGAATCACGTAACGGCTATCCGGTTGGCTAGGCGGGCTGATGTGCCAGTGGTCGCATGATGTGGACTGTCGAGCATCTGAGTTGTGCGGATTTGAATCTTTGGTATCAGAGTTAGCCAACTGCTGCTGTTGCGGAGTATCACTATCTATCACGGCCATAGAATTAATCAGTTTCAAATCAGATTTCAATTTGCTTGTAGGTGGGAATCGAGCTTGCCGAAAGTATACTTGTGATAAACGAAGAACAACACACTGAAATGATGGGAAAAAATAAAGGCCATTTATAAAGTTTAGTTATTACAGTTTTTGTAAAAGCATATCAAATCGGAAGGCTTATTAATAGAAAAAAACTAACCGTTAGTAGCTAATAGAGCTGACTGTGAATGATGATGATGGATTAGATATTTATTTTTATGAAAAGCTCTTTAGAGAAATAACAAGAAATCAATGAAAAAAATGGTTTATTCCGGATATAATCTCTAGGTGGAACAAATTAGGGAGAAATAAAATAATGGATAAGCTTTATTAAGAAAATAGTATTAATTTAAGTCATGTAGACTAAAGTGTGAAAAAATCTTAATACATTGAATGCATCATTTCGGACGGCAAGATAGACTGGAAAAGTAAGGTAAACAAAGAAGCAAGACAAGCAATTTACTGCCAAATTAATAGAAAAATTTTATCGGTTTCGAGAGGTTCTAGCTACGAAGAGATTACTACATTTCTAATTCCATGATCAAAACGAAGCAACCCTCCACCACAAAGATTTCCCATTTTTAGTTCTGGAATAGGACATTCAGATAACAAATTGAAAAAAAGATCTTTATCTCTAATCATACAATTTCAATTAAAAAATGGGGCTCTTCTAAATTAATGATGAAGGATGATGTAATAATTTAGTTAAAATGGGTATGAAGTAAGTTTAGGGTTTAATAAACTTTTAAGGAGCAATGCCAGGATCTGTCAAATACCTCTGTGGTTCGCCTACCGACACTACCGCGTTCGTACCATGCGCGGCGACTAGCGGAAGACATTCCTCCGGATGTCAAGGGCATTACGGCTTCCTCATGGCAGTGCAATACATCCGGATTTGATTCCAGTCGTTTCCGATTAAGCGATTTCTGTGATAAAAGGACAAGCCCATTGTCACCTGTAGGCCCCTGAATAGTGCCCGTTTTTGAATTAGAATCATGAAGCTCGTTTTTCAAAGGTGAACTAGCTCTCTGCTTCTCTGAAAGCAAGAGAGGACGACTGCGCTTGAATCGGAAGGAGTCTCCTGGAACCTGAACACTACTTGACCCGGTAGGCATCGAATCACGACCAGCAAGAGGATTTATAGGGCAGGTTAGTTTTGGTTGCGAAGGCAGACAGATGAAAGCAGAGCTTGTTGGCAAGACGGAAGATGAGCTGGAGGCACCAGCATGCTGGCTTGTTTGGGCAGGAGTGTTATCAATCAGGCAAGTCCGTTCCGATGAGTAAGCTGAAAAGTAAAGAAGAGAAAAATAAAAAAAAGGAATAGAATAAAACGCCGCCAACGTATATACAAATCTGGATGAAGTATAATGAAGAGAGGCAACTAGTATAGCACACACCCATAGAAGTTTTTCACAAGCTTAAGGACAAGAGTTTATTCAATAAAATAACAAAGGC